GTACTGAATTCGTTCCTAAACTATTTCATACACATCAAGCTACACCCTGTACGGATACAGCACGCTTTCTGAAGCACCGACGCACGAAATGGGGTGGTAACCAAACTGCATCCGCACGAATGCTGATATAGTACGAATAGAGTGCATTTTTGTCGGACGCAGTTCGATACCTACACTTTCACGAACTAAAACGACCAACACAGGTATGTGGAGCAACCACAGAGAGCGTAATAATATGTATATACAAGCGTGCGACAGAGAAGGAGGACGAATCTGTGGAATAGAGAGGGCGATATATTTTAAAGAGACACGGGGTCCGCGTATCCCTATGGAAGCGTTTCCATGGTGGTCCAAATCTCTCCCGACAGTCAAAAATATGCAAAGGGTTGCTAAAAGCCATTCACAGGACTAATGGCTGTCAATTGTCATGATAAAATAATGCAACAGTAAAATAAATAACAACTGTAGCACGCATAACGCACAATTGAATAATTTAGTTTGCAATTTTGAAAAAAGTATAAGTTAAAGCCAATTTTAGCTACAATGTTTTTTTTTTTTAGACTGAAATAAGTCCCTTTGCAACAGTGATTCAATTTGAAGTAGATAGATTGAAAGTGCATGACATCTATCAGTACCTAAATTATGAGAAAAGGAAACTAAAAAGAATATATATTTTCATTCGGATGCGTTGAATTCAAATAAAAATTTAAAAGAGAAAAGCTAAGTATATGTCGGTGAAAATTTTCTTTAACTCTGTTCACAAAGGCGACCGAAAGTGTTAAAGGAACCGCATGTCTCGAAGAACCGTTTTGTCAGAAATTGATGTTGCAGTTTTGTCGCCAGTTAGATGAATTTTATTCACAGTAGCTCCACATTTGAAATTTAAATGCCACGTATCAGATGCAAACAATCGTGGCGAGAATGTAAACAAACCGCTGAAGCGTCGTAAGACGGTTATCAGAGTTGCTTCCAGTGTTCAGTTCGTGAGACACAATGTTTATAATGGTGCGAGATATCCGCCAAATGCTTCGTACAATTGATCAGGAATTCGGAAGTTATTCTTTAGCACGCGAAGTATATGGAGAGTAGCTTACACGCACCGGAAGACATTCAATAGAAGTTCCTGATCGACGGAATTCCCAACGATTAAACGAACGCATCGGTACTGAATTCTATTAGTAGTTATCAGGAAGCAGGTCGACACCGTGTGCATTGGCGTAGAGTGGAGCAAGTCATTGCTCTTGCACGTTCCCATTCATAATAAGGTCTACGTAATATTGCTCGTTAGGAACCTCACATACAACAGCGCGTCGAATAATTCAAGAAGGTTTCCGGCCCTATCGGATTCAACGGATTCAGGCGCTCCGGAATAACGATCGCACTGCTAGAAGGAATTATCGTCGCTGGATTCTCCGGGAATTGCTACAGAATCGATCTTTCCTGGAAAATGTGTCTTTTTACAGATGACAGCAGTTTTTCGAGCTAAAGTTTAGGGAACCGACAAAATACTAGAATATGGAATTACAGAAATCCTGGCGCTGTAATCCATCAGTTCAACCAAAGACGTGTCCCGGTTAATGTGTGTTCTTTTAATTTTAGTAGGTCGATACGAGAATTTTTAAATAACATATTTGGATCACGCTGCATACGTCGAAGACCTGAACCTCGTTTATGGCTCTCATGAGCACCGGATCTCGATCCACTTGACTTCTTTCTTTGGCGCACAGTGAAAGAGCTTTCGTATAGATCCGGCCAACAAATAAGAAGTGTGCTTCGAACTGGAATAGTTTTCCATGAAAAGAAATGTTTTTTCTCATTCAAGCTGCAATAAGATATGAATTTACGTATTTTTACCACCGGAGTAAGTTGTAAGCAATCAGCGCTACGGCCTCGTTGATAATGTAAATTTGGTGTCCTTTCTCACAAACTTCAATGTTAATTTACAAAAAATTAAACACAATTTTAATGCTCAAAATAGCCTCCCTTATTTTCGACGAACTTTTCCCATTTCTTGGGTAACTGATAAATTCCCTCTTTGAAAAAAATACAGCGATTTCAAGTCGACGAACTTGTTGGGGCTTTGCGAAGAAAAGGCACCGAATAAATGTGTACATCTAATATTAATACGTGTACTAAATCTTTACTGGCATGAAATTCAGTGCGCATAAATGTGTACGTATGTGCGCATGTGAAAAGCCGGTGACATGAATCGCAAGAAGGACAACAAA